AAAAAAAAAAAAAAAAAAGATGATTAGAGGATATTCAGAGCAGAGTATCCTTTATCTCAAAGTATTATAGGACCTGGACGTCCCTTCAGTTTTTATCCTGTAGGCTCTGTGGGCTGAGCCACCTCTAATTGTCATGCGTAATTTCATGCCATAAGATCCCATAGAATTTTTTTACAGCAAAGTAATATATCCCATGTGGAACACTGGGTGCATTTTAATATGTGTGGTAGGATGTTGGAGGAGTGCCTAGGGTCCACGAGGCTGTAGCGTAAATCGGCCCTTGTCTGAAGAGGAGGAAACATTCTCAGGCTTCTCCCAGCCTCAAATCATTCAGCTGTGCTTTAAGTACCCTGTTTCCTTAGAATTTTGTATTTAAGTTTATGGAATTTTAGTTTATAGGACTTGAATTTGCTCTGGGCAGCTTTGTTAAAACAGAAAAGTATGGACAGTCACGGTGGTTCACACCTGTAATCCCAGTACTTTGAAAGGCTGAAGTGGGCAGATCACCTGAGGTCAGGAGTTCGAGACCAGCATAACCAACAAGCTGAAATCTCATCTCTACTAAAAATACAAACATTAGCTTGGTGTGGTGGGGCACGCCTGTAATCCCAGCTACTCAGGAGGCTGAGGCAGGAGAATCACTTGAACCCTGGAGGAGGAGGTCGCAGTGAACTAAGACTGCACCACTGCACTCTAACTCAGGTGACAGAGCAAGTCTCCATCTCAAAAGAAAACAAAAATCCACAGAAGTACAGCAGAGAGACCCCTGTAATATGCCATTAAACATCCCTTGTAACCAATATTCACAAAGGCTACATCCCAGCAGGGGCTGGCTGCCCCTCTACAAAAAAACAGATGGAGATGTTCAAGACACGCACACACAGATCTGTATTCATGTAAATGTTTCATTGCCTTGAAGTCGGCCAACAAGGTGCCCGTTTATCAGGAACTTGGGGAAGATCAACAGAACTAGTCACCAAAACAGGCTGATTAAAGCAGAGCCATTCCCATCTTGGCTCACTGCAACCTCCACCTCCAGGGTTCAAGTGATTCTTCTGCCTCAGCCTCTCAAGTAGCTGGGACTACAGGTGTTTGCCTGCTGTTTGCCCAATCCAGAGCCAGCAAGGCTAATGGCATCCAATACTAATCAATGGCTGTTTCACAGGAACAGAATTTCCATAAGGACCCCCGCAAATTAAGGGTTCTTGTGGGGAACTGTTTTTTAAAGCCATGTGTGATAACTGACAGGCTGCACTCCATTTTCCATAAATCGCTCCTAAATTCTTACCCTACTCATCTCAAAGTATCTGCTGATAACCCCATCACTCATCTCACAAGGAAGCAGGCACTGAAGCTTGTTTCCTTTTTTTTTGTTTTGAATGTTATACATTTTAAAGAAACTATTTTTGTGCTTACACAGTAGGTATATATATTTATGGGGTACATGAGATATTTTGATACAGGCATACGATGCACGACTATCAGGTCAGGGTCAATGTGTTTCATGTTTTTCATTTATTTTAAAATAAAACTTTATTGCCACTCTCTTCAGCACCATTCATATCCTTATTTATTTCAGCCTACAGAAGCTCTTTACTATCTCTGTTACTTGTCCTCTCCCCAAGGCCAGTTCACTATTCTTGCAAATAGATCCACCCTCACAGAACGCCACTTTGGATGACATCATTCTCCTGCTCAAAATACTTCAGTGGGCCAGGTGCAGGGCCCATGCCTGTAATCCCAACACTTTGGGAGGCCGAGGCGGGAGGACTGCTTGAGCCCAGGAGTTCCAGATCAGCCTGGGCAATGTGATAAAATCCTGACTCTACAAAAAACATAAATATTAGGCAGGCGTAGTGGTGCATGCCTACAGTCCCAACTACTCAGGAGGCTAAGGTGGGAGAATTGCTTGGACCCAGGAGATCGAGGCTGCAGTGAGCCGAGACTGCACCAGTGTACTCCAGCCTGGGCGACAGAGTAAGACTCAGTCTCAAAAAAATTGTTTTAAACCCAAAACTTTAGTGTCATGGTTCTGACCCATTAAATCCAATCCAAATTGGAATGCTTGGTCTTTTCTCTTTTAACATATGTTTGCTTAAATGATTCCCTCTATCCAAAACTCCCTTGCTCTGGTCCTCATTCAATAACAAAATTAAAGCTAACAATTAACAAAACACCCCAACAAGACAGGCATGCTTCTAAATGCTTTGTACGTATCAATTCATTTAGTGTTGAAAACACTATAAAGCAAATACAATTACCCTGTTTTTTTTGAGACAGTCTCGTTCTCTTGCCCAGGCTGGAGGGCAGTGGTGCGATCTTGGCCCACTACAACCTCTGCCTCCTGGGTTCAAGCCATGCTCCTGCCTCAGCCTCCCAAGTAGCTGGGACTACAGGCCACGCCACCGCACTTGTGTAATTTTTGTATTTTTAGTAGAGGTGGGGTTTCACTATGTCGACCAGGCTGGTCTCAAACTGCTGACCTCAGGTGATCTGCCTGCCTCGGCCTCTCAAAGTGTAGATATTACAGGTGTGAGCCACATCACCTGTCCCAGTTACCTTCATTTTAGAGATGAAGACACTGAGGCATAGAAAGGTCAAGTAACTTGTCAAGCTCACAGCTGGAAAGGACAGAATCAGGATTTGAACTCAGCACAGCTCTAGCGTCTTGGCATCTAATGAACCAGCAAAATGGAAGCGGGAGCTGTTTTCCAAGTCTCCTGTGCTTCCGGACCCTTGCTGGGGCCAACTGCCTTTACCATGGACATTTTCGGAGGTTAACATTTTTGAGCCAGGTGCGGTAGTTGGGAGGCCAAGTTGGGTGGATTGCCTGAGGTCAGGAGTTCAAGACCAACCCGGCCAACATAGTGAAACCCCGCCTCTACTAAAAATATAAAAAATTAGCTGGGCATGGTGGGCGGGCGCCTGTAATCCCAGCTACTAGGGAGGCTGAGGCAGGAGAATCACTTGAACCCGGGAGGCAGAGGTTGCAGTGATCTGAGATCACACCACTGCACTCCAGCCTGGGCAGCAAGAAAGAAACTCCATCTCAAAAAAAAAGAAAAAAAATTTTCAGCCTGGGCAACATGGTGAAACCCCATCTCTGTAAAAAATAGAAAAATTAGCCGGGCCTGTGCCTATATGCCTATTGTCCCAGCTTCTCTGGAGATTTGGTGGGAGGATTGCTTGAGCCTGTGAAGTCGAGGCTGCAGTGAGCCATGTTCATGCCACTTCACTCCAGCTTGGGTGACAGAGGAGACCCTATTCCAAAAAAAAACAAAAACCCCATCACAGGCTGAAATAAACCCTGACTGCAGGCTTCCTAAAATCTGTTTTCAGATATAAGTTTTCAGGATAAAAAAAAAAAAAAAAAAAAAAAAAATTTCCTTGATGGTACAGATCCTCGCACAGAGTAGGTACTCTGTAAACAATTTAATTTTTATTCTCTATTAGACCATTTATCTTTCTTTGTCC